CCAAGTTGCGGGTGGGTGGGTGGGATGATTGCGCGAGTAGGGGAGTTGACATCTTCAAGTTCGGCAAGTGATTGATTCTCCTTTCTAGAAGATTAATAGATTCTCCCCCCCAACCCCACCCGGACTTATCGCCTCCCCCTGGGAGAGTATGATTTCATTATGATTTCATATATATATATAAATGTATATATATATATATATATATATATATATATTCTGCACATTTATCCATCCTAAATATGAAATCATATCACCCCAGCCAAACCGGGGTCCCCCCTCTGAGGTTCCTTTGTAAAAAAAAAACATTGCGGTGACATGTTTTGTTCTAACATAGCACTGTTTTCACGAACCCCTTGCAAAAAATGGGACGAAGTGCGCACGCGCGCGTCGTCGAGCGCGCATGCCGAAATCCTTCAAGAACCTTCGGTGTCGGAAGGATTTCGCAATCGAGTTTCCAAAAGAGCATTCAAAAACACAGGGTTTCGCAACACTGATTTGATAAAAAACTTCCGCGCGAGCTCTTGCGAAATCTTAAGAAAACCATGTGTTTTCAAGATTTTCACAAAATCATATTAAGACGGGCTTCGCGCGCGCATGTCGAAATCTGTCGAACGCCCTTGCGCGTGTGCCGTCGCGAGAATCCTCTGCAACAAATGGGACGAAGTGCAGACGCGCGCGTCGTCGCGCGCGTATGCCGAAAACCTTCAAAACCCATCGGTTTCGGAAGGATTGAAAATCGTGTGTCCAAAAAACTTACAAAAACCCAACGTTTCGCAACACGCATTTTCAACAAAAGCGTGCACGTCGTCCTCTGTCTTTCCTCGTGTTCGTCGTCGTCGTCCTCTTTGGCGTCGTGGTCGTTTCCGTCGTCGCTGTCGCCGTGGTCGTCCTTCCTCCTCCTCCCTCGTCGTCGTCGTCGTCCGTCGTCGGCGTCTCGTCGTCGTCCCTCCTGTTTCGTCGCCGTCGTCGTCGTCGTCGTCGTTGTCGTCGTCGTCTTCCCTCCTCCCTCATCGTTGTCGTCGTCGGCGTCGCCGTCCTTCCTCCTTCTTCGTCGTTCGCGTCGTCGCCGTCCTCCCTCCTCCCTCGTCGTTGTCGTCGTTGTCGTCGTTGTCGTCGTTGTCGCCGTCGTCGTCCTTCCTCCTCCCTCGTCGTTTTCTTCGTTGGCGTCGGCGTCGTCGTCTTCGTCGTCGTCGGCGTCGGCGTCGGTGCCGTCGTCGAAGTCGTCGGAGACGTCGTCGGTGTCGTCGTCGTTGTCGTCGGTGTCGTCGTAGTTGGTCTTAAGAGGTTTTGCAAACCAAGTTGCGGGTGTGTGGGTGGCATGTTTGCGCGAGCAGTGGAGATGACGACTTCAAGTTCAGCAGAGTGGATTGCACACCATAGATCGCACAGCATATATTGCACGACATGTCTTGCACCGCGTACAATGCACCACCACGCATGCTGACTGTGGACGGTTCCCTAGGCTATGACCCTGCGAATCTAGTCCGGGAGTTGATGGCCGTGTTGCGGGAACGCACGGGCGTCAACCTGCGCGAGGCCACTGCGAATGACGAGGCGGGGATCGGCACGTGGCATCGTCTTGCAGACCAGGACCCCTCCTCGCACCCTGGACGCGTGCGACTCCACCTAGCTTCTCTCGACGACGCTCGTCCCATCGCAGAGCAGGTGCACGGCCGGGCAGTCCAACTGGGTGCCGACCTGGTTAGCTTGAGCGTGGCCAACGACGAGCTGGACAGGCAGCAGAGAAACGGCAGGCGGGGGCGGGCGGGCCGGGGCCCTGCCCCCGCGGCGAGCGGGCGCCTTCCCGCCCGCAGCCCGGCGTAACAGAGGCAGGGCTGCCAATTGAGGTCTTCACACAGTCTGGGTCACGTTACTGGTTGCTTGACCTCGCAATGCACGTCCGCCGTGTCGATCACGGCGATGTCCCTTTCTGCCTTCTTCCTACTGCTCCCAGGCTCCTTCATGCTCGCTCTCCTGCACTATCTGCTGGACAACCTCTACTTGCAGGTGATGTTGTCGGCAATGGTGTTCACTCGGCTGCTCAGCTACCGTCGCTGCCTCCGGCGCGACCTGCCCCGCGGCTGCGCGCCAGGCGAGTGCCTCGCCCTCCGGCCCGCACTCCTGGTCAGAGCCCGCCTGGCGGTTCTGAGCCTTCGGCCGGGCTTTCGGGCTTGGCCCTCTCGCCATTCCGCGGAGAGCTGCACGGGGCTGCGTGGAACGCCCAGGCCCTATTCGCACGCAAGCGCAGCCGCCACTACGAGAAGGATCTGGTGCCTGGCCGGGCCGGCGTGCTCCGCCTCGCTGCCCCCTGGGGGTCGCTCGATTTGTACACGCTGTATTTCGCAGCCTCCAGCGCCTCTGATGCCGTGCAGCCTCGCGGCGCTCAGGCGCCTGCCGTTCAGGAGCATAACGCGCACAGACAGCGCGAAGACATACGGCGGCGGCTGGCCAGGGCCATGGCGCCCGGGGGGTCTGTACTTTCTGTGATGGCTGGCAACTTCAATTGGGTGGCGGACGCACGTGACCGATTCACGAAAACAACGGCCGAGTATACAGGGCACCGAGATGCCGGAGACGAGGGGCATTTTCAAAGCGTGCTGGGTATGCCGTTCGGGCTCTACGAGGTCCGCCAGCCCGCCATGACCCACGACAACGCTGCAGCGCGGTCACGGCTTGACCGCGTATACTGGAACCAGTCGGGGGCGGCTCGGCGCTGCGGAAGCGCGGGCGGCGGGGGTTGCGCAGTTCCGCTGGGGCACAGGTCTTGGCACGCGCGATGCAGGACACTTTATGGTCCGTCTGTCTTCACTGGCCAGTAGTAGGCCGCAGTGTGGGCGAAAGATATCGTGACACAGAGGCCATTCGTAGGCCTCGGGCGGAATGACCTCGACGGGGCACTTCATGTTCCGTCCGACCGCACTGGCCAGTGGTAGGCCGCGGTGAGACCGAAAGAGCCCAAGCCACAGAGGCCATTGGTAACCTTGAGGCCGATTGACCTTGACGGGACACATTCTGGTTCGTTTGTCCGCTTTGGCCAGCGGTGCGGTCGACAGCGCCCATTCCACAGAGGCCGCCTTGTAGGCTTGAGGCGGATAGATCTGGACGGGACACTTTATGGTCCGTCTGTCCGCCTTGGCCAATAGTAGACCTGCGTGACGGCAGCGAGGGCCAGGGGTCCCGTGACCGCAGAAATTGGGCTTGTGATGCTAGCGCGTGATGGGGCGCCAGTCGGTCTATTGTGGCCAGCGACAGGCCTCTGTGATGCCAGCCAAGGCACTCGAGCGCAACGCAAGCGACGAGGGCAACGGAATCCAGTGCCACCGAGGCCAGAGGGAAGCCGGCGGCGACGCGACACAGAGGTGGCGCCCGCGCACGGGCGGATCCCGGACCCCAGCGGGGGCAGGCCCACGGGCCGCAGAGGAAGACCATATCTTCGAGCGCGGCAAAAAAAGACTAGGAACATCTGTGCTTGCGGATGTGGGGGGGGGGGAGAGAGAACCTGGGCGCGAGCGAGCGCGAGGCGGAGGCCAGCGCGCGCGGGGCCAGGCAGGCGGCAGCGGCAAGCGGCGGATGGCAAGCACGACCGAGCCGAAAGCAAAAAGGACGCGGACGACCACGGAGGGCAAGCAGGCGGGGGCCACGCGACGCGAATCACGAGCCGAACGCACGAGATACGCAGGGGCCTTTTTGGAGAAGGGAACCGAGAGAACCAGGGCCAACGCGAGCACGACGAGCAGGCCGAAAATGGAGCAACGACGAAGCAGACGGAAGAGATTGCAAAATGCAACGGGCCCGCCCGTCCTGCATATGCCGCGGTCGCCTGCGCGGCGCCGCCGCGCGCGCGCGCGCTCGCCCGGCCGGGCCGCGCACGCACCTGCGATCCCCGCCTGCGCAGCGAAGGCGCGCGCCCGCGTCCGGACCTGCATCGCGCGCGCGCCTGCCGAGAGATCCGCGTACGCCTGCAGGACGCGCACCGCGCGCGTGCGCCTGCCAGCCGCGCGCTGCTTCCCGCTGCCCCCCATGAGAATTGTAGCCGCGAACAAGCAAGCTTGCGCGCCCACGTGGGGCCGTTTTGAGGCCATATCGGGCCGCCTTGGGGGGCGTCTTAGGCCGTCTCCGAGGCAGTCTGGGTCATCTGAATACCTTGGGCTGCCAGCATGGACCGGCTTGGAAACTCGGGATGCATATCCATGTTTGTACTGGGGATCGCGGCCTCGGGAGCGCGGCTCCATCGTTTTCTGTACGAGGGGCTGTGGCTTCGAGAGGACGGCCGATGCATGTAGGGATCCGTGGCCAAGGGGGGTGCCCCCTAGTAGAGTACAGAAGCCTTACCAGACAGCCTTTGACATTCTTCCACGCCCCAACGTGCACAAGGCACGGTATGGGGTTTTCGGCGGCGAGTCCGGGTGGAAATGAGAAGGGGCGGGCCTTCTCAGAAGGCTCGGAAGTCCCCCGCCTTCAGACAAGTGTTTTAAGTCTCCCCCGAAGACACCGCGCACTTCTCAGAAGGCGCGAGGGCTTCTGAGAAGTCCCGCCGCCTTCTGAGAAGGCCTTTTCCTTCGCACTTCCCCCCTTGCTCGCCGCCGAGTTTTGTCGTCTTCTCTCTCTCTCTCTCTCGTTGCCTCGCTCTCTCTCTCTCTCTTTCTCTTCTCTCTCGTGTGTAGGTCCCTTCTCTCCGGTGTCCAATGTCGTTTGAGCGGGGAGGTGCAGTCCAGCCGTTCGGCAATGATGGGGAGTGACACGCACGCGCAAGTTCAACTCGGAAGAGGTGGCCCGAATTGTTCGGTATGCTTCGCACCGTTCGGGCGTGTGCATCTATTGTTTGCGAGAACCATCAAGACGCATCTTGGAACATCTGGCAAAACATAACGCACGAAATCGAAAAACGCACGGGGAATGGACGTTCGAGCGATGGCGAGTATGGCAATATCGCGGATGTTCAGCAGAGGGGGCATGGGATGATTGGGTTTGGTTTGCTTTCCAATGCTGTGAGCCCACAGGTGTTCTATTACGCGGAGGCGCGCCGCGCGCGCTTCCGGCAGCAGCAGCAGCAGCAGCAGCAGCAACGACCTTGGTCTGGTCGAAGACATTCTTGCCCAGCATGCGTCATTTCGCCTCGGCGCCACTGCGTGCTGTTATCCGGAGTTGTGTTTTATGCGATGTTTTTTGTTGTTCCGATGCCGCGGCCCGTGATGATAGGCTGCGCAGCAGAGCAGGGGAGGGAGGAGGACGAGGGTTGAGGAGGATGAAGGCGAAGGGTAAGTAGGAGGAAGGGGCGGGGGGAGGGAGATGGGCGGCTGGGTTGGAGGACGAGGAGGAGGAAGAGGAGGAGGAGAGGAGGAGGACAACGAGAACGTTGTCGGCGAGGTCGACGAGGTCGACGATGATAGAGACTAGGAGGAATGTTCCATGAGGACGAGCAGCCTAGTTGTAGGATGAGGGGCGGACCAGGAGGCGCAAGAACAGCAGGAGCAGGAGGACGAGAGGCAGCAGGAAAAAGAGCGCGAACGTGAGGAAGAGCAGGAGGATTAGCAGAATTTGCAAGATTAGCAGGATTACCAGGGGACGAACGGAGGAAAAGCAGCAGCGGAGGATCAGCAGGAGGGGCAGGAAGAGGCGCAGGCCCAGAAGATCAGACGGAGGAGCCACATAGGGAACAGCACCGGCAGCAGGAACGCCTCACACTCTTGCTGTTGCTGCTGGTCCTCTTCCTTCTCCTTCTCATCCCGTCCCTCCGCCTCGTCGTCGTCCTGAAAAGGTGGAGGGGAGGAATGGGAGCAGCAGGAGATGGAGGAGGAGGAAGAGGAGCAGCAGCAGCAGCAGCATGAGGAGGGGTAAGAAAAGGAGCATCAGCCTGTGGATGGGAACACCGCAAGGATTTGGTGGAGAATGAGCAGCAGCGGCAGGAAGAGCGGCAGAAGACGGCAGTTGGCGAAGGAGAACGAACATCGAGTCAAGTACACCGTCCGCCTTCATGAGGGTGATCGCGTTGCATTCCCAGGCAGTTGCGTGCGGTACGAGAATGGAACATTTGAGTTCAAGGCAAAGCAAAAGAGCGTCACGATATGACATATGTTCGGTGAGAGTTATGTCACGTGCTCTGCGACTGGTGCAACATATCTGTTGCAAGTTGTGTGGTTGTGCGTGTGCGTGCAAGTTGTTTGGTGCAAGTTATGTGCTGCAAGCCACATGGTGCAAGCTATGTGGTTCAAGCTATTTGGTGAAAATATCTGTGATGCACTCGAAGTGAAACAAAACATGTGATGCCAGCTGTGCTTCGCAAACTATGGAATGAATTGTGTGCATGTTGAAATATATGTGGTGTTAGCTATGCGGTGAACTTTGTGATGCCGCTATGTGGTGCAATCGATGTGGTTCAAGCTATGTGGTGCGAGTTATACGGTGCATCCAGCGTCCTATTCGTCGCGCGCTCGTAGCGCAGCACGGTAGGACTACCACCAGCAGTACCTCGCCAAGCCAGGGGCTCGTCCTTATTGCTCTGCGCAGCCGCAGCAGGTGCGGCTGGGCTCTGTGAGGAGCGCGATGAGGAGAAGGAGAAGGAGAAGAAACAGTAGCAGCAGCAGGTGGGCGAAGGAAAGGATGGACGAGGAGACTTGGTCGTGGAAGGAGCATGCGGCCTCGAAGTCCTGTATCGCCTCCCAGCACTCCTCCTTGCTCCTCGAGTCCGCCGTCATCGCACTCATCTTCGTTACTTGCATCCCTTCTGTCACGTAAGGGTTCGAACAGGATATCATCCCCAGGTTCTCATCGGATGTGCGGTGTGCGCGCACTTCATGCGTCGTGCTTTAGGGCCACACCGAAGGACCACGGCAAGCCATCGGCATGGGGGGGGAAAGAGGCATGAAGAGCAGGATTCCTCAGGGGGGGAGGTCGACGTTGTTGAGCTCGCTTTGTGCCCGGCTTAATTGCTCAAAATGGAGCCGGCGTGCGCCGGAGGAATGCCCTGGGCGTCTTGTCTGAAGCGACGGCAGGGCACGGTTTTCCCACAGAAGTGCTAGAGCGTGGCCTCACAGCACCCTGTGTCGACACGCCGACGCCAAACGGAGTGCGCATGGTCATGCAGTGGAAACCCATGCCAAGAGACACTCTGCTTGCCTCGTTTTGCTATGAGGTTCCCACACCAAGTATCAAGGGACGTCCTGGGGTCTCAGGGTTAAGTTTCTTGTGGAAGGTTTCTTCTGGTCGAGCTCCTACTGTATGTACTTGCGCCGCGGGCGGGAGCCGTGGAAGGGCATCTGGCCTCAAAGTCCTGTCTAACCCCATGCCCACGATAATAATGTACCCCCCCCTTAAGTCGTTAGAGTTTTTTATCGTCGACCAATAAGAGTTTGGTCGGGGGCGCGGGGCGCGGAGGCCAAACTGGATTATCACCTCGGAACGTTATGTTGGGATAGCAAGATCAAGTTATGTTAAAATAGCAACATCAAGCGAAGCGATCACACTTTTTTCAGGATGTCTCAAGCGAAACCAAGAATTTTGGGAGGCAGGCTCAAACGAAACGAGCAATGTTTCAAGGATGTTTCAAGCGAAACCAGTAATTCTGTGAGGATGTCTCAAGCGATTCGAGAAGCTTGTCGAGGATGTCTCAAGCGAAACAAGCATATACTCGAGGATGTCTCGAGCGATTCGAGAAGCTTGTCGAGGATGTCTCAAGCGAAACAAGCATATACTCGAGGATGTCTCAAGCGAAACAAGCATACTCTGAAGGATGTCTCAAGCGAAACGATACGCTTCTTAAGGATGTCTCAAGCGAAAATAGTTTCGTTTGGCTGCCGCACGAACGTTTGTATATTCCGTGCGGAAGTGCACTGGAGGCTCTCCCCTCTCTCCTTCCTCCCCGCTCTTGGCTGCAGCCGTTTCAGGTTGAGCTTTGCGCTTTCCGAAGGGGCCCACGCCCCTAATCTCATCATGGGGGGCCGGGACGGCCCCATCTCTCAGCCATGAGTCCGGGAAGAACTCTGGCATTCTGATCTCATTCCCCGGGCGGGAGCGCGCCCCCGGGATGTTTCTCGTGGCATTCGTGGCCGTACCCTTGCTCCCCATCCTGCTCGCCTTGGAGGGCGTGGGAGTGGGGCGCAGCAGGGAACCCGGCACGGCCGCGTGGCGCACAGTGGCAGGGGGTGTCGTGGGAGCGGGGTCGCTCCACGGCTATGGAACCCAGCCGGCGCCTGCCCCCGAGGGGGAGGATGTCTGCAGCCTAGACGGCGGACCGGGGAGTTCTGGTCCCAGCGGTCAGCTCGAGGGCCCCTCCGGGGAGGCCTCGTCCGGCGACGACCCCAAGGAGCAGTCTCCCCCCCACCGGGGAACCCTGGGGCCCGACGCCCCCAAGTCCCACCGCCCGGCCGATGGCGTGGCCGGGGGCCTCCCCAATCCAGCTTCCGGGGAGGGAGGGGGCACCTCCGCTACTTCCAACCTCCCCTCCCCCATCCCGGCGAGACCCGCCGTGAGTGCGGTCCGTCATCCTCCTGGCAGGGAAGCTGCTGCCAAGTCCCACCGCCCGGCCGATGGTGTGGCCGGGGGCCTCCCCAATCCAGCTTCCGGGGAGGGAGGGGGCACCTCCGCTACTTCCAACCTCCCCTCCCCCATCCCGGGGAGACCCGCCGCGAGTGCGGTCCGTCATCCTCCTGGCAGGGAAGCTGCTGCCAAGTCCCACCGCCCGGCCGAGGGCGTGGCCGGGGGCCTCCCCAATCCAGCTTCCGGGGAGGGAGGGGGCGCCTCCGCCACTTCCAACCTCCCCTCCCCCATTCCGGGGAGACCCGCCGCGAGTGCGGTCCGCCATCCTCCCGGCAGGGAAGCTGCTGCCACGCCCCCCCTCCCGGCCGACGGCGTGGCCGGGGACCTCCCCAAGCCAACTTTTGGGGAGGGAGGGGGCGCACCTACAGCCCCTGGAGTGGACCACATCGGCGGAGGCGCGGCCCCTGGAGTGGGCCCATCGCCTCCCGCCGTACCGACGACATCGCGCACCACGGCACCAGCGACGGAGCCGACCTCAACGGCGACGGAGGGTGCGCCACCGATGCTGCAGGTGCTGGCGGGGGTCTACGCCGCCCTCTACGTCGCGGGCTGCACCCCCCTCGCCCGGGCCATCGCCGGCTTCGTCGCGGCCCCCCTCATTGCCATCGCCACGGTCGTCGCCGACCACATGGCCACCCGCGTGGTCGCCGACGTCGTCGTCGCCGCCGCCGGCTTCGCCGCCTCCCTCGCCACCGGCGCAGTCGGCGCCGCAGCCGCGGCCATATTCGGCGCGGGACTCTGGGGCTCTGGCGAGAAGGAGGCGGGAGGAGCCCGTGGGGCGGGAGGAAACCTTCTGGGAGCTGGAGGTGATCGGCCTGACGCTCCCCGGCATGCTGGAGACGATCGTTGGGGCGCGGGCGACCCCCCGGGCGCTCCCCGGGCCTATGGAGATCGGCGGGGGGCTGGCGCCCCTCCAGGCGCTGGTGGACCTCGAGACGCGCCTTGTAGCGCCGACGGCCTTCGGGACGATGGCGCTCCCCGTGGAGCTGGCGATCCTCCGGCTGCCGGCGATCCACGTGACGCTGGCGACCACCGGGCCGACCCACCAGGAGGGGGCCACCTCCTAGGTGGGGATACCCTCTACGGGGGGGCCAACGCGGACGCCGACGCCGATGCCGACGCCCTCACCGACGATGCCGACGCCGACGCTGACGCCGACGATGCCGCTGACACGTACGCCGAGGCTGGCTGCGGCCCCCGTGAGGCCCGGGACGCTGGAGGCGACTGCCGGGACATAGGAATGCCCACGGTGCCGACGCCCTCACTCGTCGAGCGGATGCCGACTCCGGCAGCCCAGGCGCCGACTCCGGGTTCGGGGGCAGCGCGTGTGCCGGTACCTACCTCCCCTGAGGGAGGGAGCGCCCCCTCCTCTGGGAGGGCATCGCTCCGGCCACGCACTCACCGACGACAACCCTGGGGCGGGAGCGCCCTGCCACCGGGATGGCGACGACCGATCGGGCGCTGACCCTTACCGCAGTGGGAGAGGCCCCCCCGGGGAGGGAGATGACCGTCCAGGAGCAGACCATCACCGATGTGGGGACGACTTCCACCGGGACGGAGTTTACCGTCCAGGAGGGAGCCACCGCCGAGGGGGGGGGGACCCCGGCCAGAAGGCCGGCACCTACACCGGCGGCGACGCTGACGACGCCGACGGCGACGTGGACGCCGACGCTGACGCTGGCGCCGACGCTGACGCCGACGACGACGCCGACGCTGACGCTGACGCCGACGCCGAAGCCGACGACGACGCCGACGCGGACGTTGACACTGCCGACGCCGACGCTGACGCCGACGCTGACACTGACGCCAGCACGGACGCTGACGCGGACGCTGACGCTGGTGGGAGAGGCTGTCCCGGGGAAGATGCGGAAGACAACGCTGACGCTGACGCCGACGTCGACGCCCACGCTGACGCCGACGTGGACAGACGGCGGCCCCACCGGCGCGCCCGCCCCCGGCTGCGGCGACGACGACGCCCCCCTCCGCGACCCCGGCGCCGACGCGGACGAGGGGGGCACGCCCTCCCGGGAGGAGGGGGGGGAGAGGCATGCAGGCCCTCAGGCGCCCTCGACGCCGACGCCGACGCCGCCGCCGCGATCGCCTCCCACGGAGCTCCTTGTGACCGCCCCCGTGGACGGGATTCTGGCTGTTCCCCGGCGCGCTGGAGGCGAGCCCCAGGAGGCGGACGGGCCCTCGTCACTGCCGATAACCCCTACCGCCACGCCGACGGCGACACCTACGGCAGCACTGACAGAGGCGCCCTCGCACCCCCCGGGGGAGGGGTGCACCTCCCCGGCGGGGGGATCGGACCTGCTCGTCGTCAACCGCCTCCCCCTCGCCGTCCCCTCCACTGTCGGCGCCATCGCCGTGGTCGAGAACATCTCGGACAGCGCCCCCGCCCTCGGCCCCGCCGCCCTGGCCCGCATGACGCCCTGCTTGGTGGGGCTGCTTGGCCCCCCCTCGGGGCCCTTGGATGCGGGCTCGGCAGCCCCCAGGGCCGCCGCCGGGGCTCAGCGGAGGCGCTCTTCCGTGGGAAACGGAGGCGAGCACGACAAATTTAACCTAAAATTTGTCGCGCGGGCTCCTCCGGGCCCTGCCGGGGCCGCCGGGGCCGCCGCTGACAGCAGCCGGAAGGATGTGACATCTGATGTCCCCGGCGCCCGCCCGCGTGACATCAGATGTCACTCGGCAGCGGCCGCCACCGCGGCGCCGCCTGGGCGCCCGGGCGGGGACTTGACCACTCCGGTTGCCCGCCCCGGTTCCGCCGAAGCCGCAGGGCGCGCCGCGCCCGCAGCCGCGGCGCCGCCGGAACGCCCGCCGGGCGGGGACTTGACCACTCCGGTTTCCCGCCCCGGGCTCGCGTGTCTGGCATGTCCCGCACCCCCCGGGCGGAAAGCGCACCCCCCGGGCGGGGGGCGCGCCCCCCGGGTGCCCGGGAGATGCTAGCCTGGATCGTGGCGTGGCCCGCCGCGGCACCGGGC